TACGCCAAATCCATTTTCCATCTAATTAAAACAGAGGGCAGATTTCCCAGCCACAAGTTCGCTCATGTACTGACATATCTTCAGCGGAACACCCCTTCTCCTAGGCAGTCCGTGCACACATATGTACACACATGTACACGCAGACACCGTCTACATACGTACCACACATGCAAACACCGTCAATGCTCTGAAATTCATTTTCTTTCTTTATTCAAAGCATCCTCAAAACAATAAAAGATGACCTCTGGGAGACGGCATGTACCCAAATCTAATCATTTCTGGGTTTTTCTTCTTTTGATCCGAGTGCTTATACTTTCGAGCGGCCCGATCCTGTCATCCTGCTTAAGGAGTGGCCTGACATTGCCCTGCTTTTTTTTTTTTTAATTGGCAAATAGTAATAGCGCAGCTCCCCCAACCAAAACCGGAAAACAGAAGGGAATATGGATCTCCCAAAACGCACGATCTTAATACCACAATGATGACCATGTTGGTTCATTTTCTTCCAGTACAATTTGGGAGAACACTTTCTTTCACTTAACATGAGTTCATAAGTGTTTTTCTATGATCCTAAATAATCTTTATAATTATCACTTTAATGGCCACACTGAGTGGATGTACGCCATTAGTTACTTAACCATTTACCTATTGTTAGGCTTTTAGTAGCTGCCGCTTTTCACTCCTTTAAGCTGGAAAGAACATTTTTATATAAGCTATTAATTTAAAGCAACATGCAGAGAGGACTCTCCATCACTAATCTAAAAATACAGGGTTTATATACTTACAACTCACATTTGATTATGCACTTTAATTGGAGGGTAATTAAGACATTTGCATTCTGAACAGCTCCTCGACACCAGCTCTCCCCCGAGCCAGATGGGCTCCACCATGACTCGCCAGAGTCACCTCAAGACAGCACAGTCCGATGAATTCCAAAACACAATTCTCATACGAAAAATAAACTTTATGAACTCCTGCTGCTTCAGAGCCAAGAGATTAACTCCAAGAACCAGAGCCCATGGTCCTCGGAGGTGACAGGGCCAAGGCAAGCCGTCATTGAAAATGCTACTGTGGCTTCCTGAGGGGTCCAGCACTCCCGACAGACCTCACCGCATCTGTGCCCAAGGCCAGGTGTGTTCCTGGGACCAACCTGGAGGGGCTGTGCACAACCTGGACCCAGATACCTCGAGAGAAACAGGCCAAGGAAATTGCTCAGATGATTCCCAGCCATTGGATGCTTTGTGAAGTTCAATGAAGGGCACGGCGTTTGGCTACAGGTTTCCTTGGGCAGGGCAGGGGTCAGTGCCTGGGGTATAGAGGGATGCAGGCAGTGGTCCTCCTCCAGCTGCGTGACTCCCAACAAATTACAAAAAAAAAAAAAAAATCTGCAGCCTCAATTTCTCGTTCTGCAGCTTGAGGGTGGTAAGAGCATCTCCCCGTGAGGCTATCCTGAGGGTCAAGGAGGAAATCCAAGTGCTGCGCCAAAAATGCTGGCATTTGGGGAGGAAAAGAAGTACGTACGGACTGCACGCCGACATCACGCGGTGGCGTACGCACACTCATTTGCTGAATGAATGTGTGAAGGGATGAGGGAAGAATAGCCCCTCCCCACCCCAATAAACAGTAAATGAACACGCTGGACAGGTATAGCCCCATAACATGACAGTAGTTCTTAATGTCCAGGAAAATGCCACTCTAAAGCTTTAGAAAAGGCCACCCAGCCATCAAAGGAGCACCGATCTCCATCTGAAGTCCAAGTAAACCAACTACAAGGACCGTCTGACAACCTTCTTATCCGTGGGATGAGGACAATTCTACTTCTACTACTTGAAAAACAAATACACCAGCAAACCACGCTGAGAAAAAAATTCCTCTAAGTATCACCATCATTTCTACTAATAAGAAAATGATTTTTATATACTTAGCAACTCCCTGTAAAACAGAGAAGAGCTTAGAATTGCTTTATTATTATTATTATTTTGCCACTGGCAATTAATTTTTTTGATTTGTTTTATTAGTTTGATGGTTGGGTCCAAGATTCAGAATATCTTTCCAAACCAGCAGACTGATGTAAGAAAATTATTTCAGTGCAGTTCCTGGCAAATCACAATGATGAATAGCATGGTAGGACAAACTTATTCAGACACACATTTTTCAGGAGTGGCAGGGAAAAGGCTGAAAAATTACTAGTAAATTGCTTTTTGTAAAAATGCTCTCCCTTTCAAATTTTCCCTGGTAGGAAGGTCTTCTGCAGAATGATGGCACAATATAGTCTGGCACAGCTGGACAAAAAAGGCAGTTCAAGAATGACTTTGAGAGAGGAAGGTTAGGATTTAATTCTCTCATTATACCCCCACGGCCCCCAGACCCACCCCACACCAGGTCCTTTTGTGTGCATCATTTTAACCTGTTGGGATAAATATCTGTAAAAGATATGTACTATCCATCCTTAGCAGGCATGCTGTATCCCACCCACTCTCCAGAATTTCGTCCTCCCAGCACGGAGCCAGGAGATGATACAGCTCTGGTCTATTTGTTTCCTTCTCCAGTCTCTCCAAAACTGCCCAGTATTTCCATTTCCAACTTACAAAGGCCTGCAGCTATCCTCAGCACCCAGTAAAGCTCTAAAAGCCAAAGAAGACTTATTCTCTGTCTTCTCCAGACTACCTACAAGAGCGACCATTTTGGGTAATTCTTTTGTCAAGAGGACACACAGAGGCAACAGTGGCATGAGGACGTGGCTCCCTCCTGGCTCAGCACAGAGCTGGGGCGTCTCCAGATGAGCCCTTCAAAGCAGCCACCTTCCAGACCACCCATGCATGTCCCCAGGTGCCCGGACAGTGCCATCTGTTTGTTCCCAGGCGTTCGCTCTGCTCTCCCAGGCCTTCCCTTTCAGGGACACACTCCAGCCACCCAAGATGAAAGGTCTAGTGTGGTGGTTCTTCCCCGGGGATGGCTGTGCCCCTCCCACCCCCCACGGCCATCTGGCAATGTCTAGAGACATTTCTAGCTGGCACACTGGGAGGGCGCTCCTTAGGTCTAATGGGTAGAAGCTAGGAAGCTGCTAAACATTTCTACACGTACCGGAGGGCAAACGGTCAGCTGGCCTAAAATGCCAGAAGTGCCAAGTCTGAGAAGCCCAGGCTCTCTGACCTAAACCCAACTCCACAGAGCTGATTTCTGCGGCCCTCCAGCAGAATGGCCAGTTCATTGTCTGGGCATAAGTGATGAAATAATTCATCTTCTCTAAGTCTTTTGTTCAAGAGCTCAGGTGGGGACCTGCAAAGTGCCAGCGCCATGCTGGCCGGTGATGAGAGACCAGGCTCATGGGGTCCCCAGAATGCACAGAGAGGAAGTTCTAGAACGCACTCTCACATGGGGGCTTGGGGCTTCTCCCCACTTTTTTCCTCCATCGGACCACCATGCCCACTGGCCTGCAATTCTAACGCAGTAAGAACTAAGGCCATGGGGACGTGTCCTGCCTGTCTTAGACAACGGACACTGAAACAGCAGGAACTCTGGGATCGGGGACAGCAGGATGCTGCTCCTGCCTGTACGTCCTGCTTGCTGTATGATGTTAATAAGTAACATCACCTCTCTGAACCCCACTTCGCTCCTTCAGACGGGCGGTATGGCTCTGAAGGTGGTAGGCACAGCCTTCACATAGCAGTGAAGCTCCCGATGGCCTACATGCTCACTGCCTTCTGGAGCGGCCGCCAACAGCCACCCAGTTCCTTGTGGCATTTTTGGAGAAGCGCTCCTGGGGGTTTCTGTGCTGGGCCCACGGCTCCTCCCAGGACAACCCGAAGGGACTGGGCAGTGCAGCCTGGGCCTGTTCTGTTCCACCAGCTTATGTCTGTGACCTTGCCTCTGGACACGGTGCTCCAAAGCCAGGTTCCTGCACGCCCCAGTCCCTCCCATCGGACTATTTTCTTCTCAAACGCTAACTCACAAGCAACATAACTCTATTTTCTTCCTTTAAGTTCAGCCCGCAAGAAAATTCTTCCACGTGCAAGGAGCAGCTGTGAATCTGCCTGATAAAGTAAAGGCATTTACCCCACTGGTATTCCCCAGAGGGATCATCGGCCACCTGCACCTTTTTAGATGCATTTAATAATTCAGCCCAAGATGAATTTGCATGATTAACATAAAGCCTTGTGATTTTATTTTCTTTCAGGATTTAAATACTCAAACCACCACCATTGTTTTCACAGTGGTTGTGATCAAAACACAAAACTTGATTCTAGAATGAATAATTTCTTTTTTTTTTTTTTTTTAAGTATTTTCAAATACCACTCTCCATAGAATGCAAAGAAAAGAGATATAGATGCAGGGAAACCCATGTTCTTTCTAGGGCTAGCGTTAACCCAATAGAAGTAAGCCACATCACAAGATTAATCCCTTCAGGTCGTCCCATGGAGCAGGAGGCCCCGCTGTCCCGTGACATCCATAATGGCTAAGACAAATACATTTATGTCAGTCCTTCATGAAGGGCTCTCCACATTTATCTGATCAGGATCTAGAGTCTCCAATAAGAAAACAGCAATTCTCTTGGATTCCAATAATAGATTAATCACGTCACACAAAAACTAGTAAAAACCCAAACCGAGTAAGATACATTTGGAAAACCATCTGCCTGTGAAGTGGGGAAGTGTATGTGAAATGATAATCTGCAAAGCGGAAGAGGCAGCGTCGCTGGGCTGCTTGATGAAGATAGTGGAACAGGTTTGTCTAATGGGGAAACATGCATCACTATCAAAAGAAACAGTGTATCCCACATGGAAAAGCAAGTAGGTTTTAATATCAGAGAAGCATTTCAAGCTATGCCTGCCAGCAATTCTCCGCCTGTCTGATTTTCCTTAACATAAAGGCCAACCTCACCTGTTTAAAAATAATTAGGAAGCAGGCAGTAATAGTGTTCGCTCAGTCTGTGCTGCCTGTGTGTTCATGTGTGTGTTTCTATTGCACTGACGCCTGTGTTGGTGTTTCTGAACGCAGGAATCATGGTCAGTAAAGAAAGCGGCAAATGCGTACTCACGACATCGGAGAGTGACGTGGAGCCTGCCGCCTGCCTGGCCCTGGAGATGAAGTACGCGCTGGACCCCAACCGGCAGATCAAGAAACGGAATAAAGCCCTCCAGGTGCGGTTTAAGGATATCTGTGAGGCGCAGAACGAGCAGAGGGACCCGCAGCTCTCAGCGGGACAGCCGGGCGAGAAGCGCGAGGCCAAGCCCGTGTCCTACAGGGCGGCCTACCGCAAATACATGACCGTGCCCGCCCGGAGGTCCATCCCCAACGTCACCAAGAGCACAGGCGTGCAGACCTCACCGGACCTAAAGAAGTGTTACCAGACCTTCCCGCTGGACCGCAAAAAGGGGAACCTCAAAAGCATTCCCGCTGCAGATGCTTTTAAGAATCAAAACAATGGGTTTGCATCGGACACGAAGGAGAAGCGCGAGGAAGGACTGGGGGAGGAGGCCCGGCCGTGGGGTGCCGGCCGGGTACACAAGACGGCAGCCTTGGTTTTCCACTCCAACGAACACATGAACGCCCTGGACCAGCCTGCCGGGGCCAACTGTGCAGAGCCGTGCAGAAACCCTGATGTGCACAGCTGCCCAGATGAGCCACTCCAGAACTCCGCCCGGCCTCCCTCCCAGGAGCCCGATTACCAGCTGCACGGGAGAGCAAAGCACGACGGGGCAACACCAGACCCCGAGGCAGCTGCTCTGTCGGTCCACGGGACCGTGTTTAAAACCGAGGTGGCCACCGTTTACGCACCTGCCCCCAGCGCGAAGGCCCCCGAGGATGCCTTGTCAAACTCTGCCGCCACGAGCGAACGGCCCCTTTGCCCGGCAGCCGACCCGGAGCGGAGGAGAGCCCCGCGTCTCAACGGGCTCCAGGGCCCCCAGGGCCCCGCGGCGGCCTGCTCGCCCCCGATGCAGTGCCTGTCCCCCGAATGTAGCGAGCAGCCCCCGCAGACTCGAGCCCCGCCGGGCGAGGAGAGCCAGCCTTGGCCCTCGGCCACCGCGGTGGGCGAGGAATGCCGACAGATCGTGCCCCGCACAGAAGTTGTCGATCTGAAAGCGCAGCTGCAAGTGATGGAGGACCTGATCAGCTCCAGCCAGGAAACCATCAAAGTGCTCCTGGGGGTCATTCAGGAGCTGGAGAAAGGAGAGGCCCATCGGGAAGGGTATGTATGCCCACGTTTCTCGTGAAGCTGTGCGGGCTCACCACCCCCAGGGTCCCTCTGTAGCCTGTAACGCCCCAGATCCCTCTCGAGACTAGTGCCAGCATTTCTGGGAGTAGGTGACAGTCTGAGGGCAGGCCAAGTTCAAAGGGGTCCCGGCTGCTTTATGAGGGCTGGGCGTCACTGCATGCTCGCCCTAAAGACGCACGTGATGCTTAGTATTCCTCTGTCTGGCCCGGAATTCAAACCCTGTACCTCTGTTTTGAATGCATGAATTGACGGCTCTTAACTCTGTATGTCCTAGGACGAAAAGTTCATGCTAGGGAGGAAGTGTAACAGGTGCGCCAGCCCAAAATAGCTAAGAAACTACTCGCCTCTTAGGAGTCGTATTAGGGAAGAAAAAAGAACTGAAATGATATTGTGCAAAGCAGATGCTGACTTGGTTTTATTCAATCATTAGAATAACATTGATATTCAGGACTGTACAAGGCTTCACACAATAGAGGATATGTTTCTGGGTCCCGCTGTGGAGCTCCTAGAAGAATGCCTGCCCTCAGGCAAGGCCTCTCCGTGTGTGATTAGGAGACATGCCTTTCCTCCTGAGTGTCTCGTGTGCAGCTAGGCTACAGAAGGAATCATACCCAGTCGGCAGCCAGAACCCCCCAGCCTTGGTAACAGAGCGCTAAACTTTGTTTCCCATCTTTTGAACTTGAAATTGTGCAGTGGCAAATTTAAAAGCAAATGACCTAACGGAGGGATGCTAGCCTTGAGCCCCTCAGCTAGGAAGGCTCATGGGGGCCTGGCAGTGTGCTTCGCTGAAACCAAAGTGCCAGCACTGTTCTAGTTCCAAGCTTCTCGAAACAGTGCCCACAGCTGACTGGCCCTCATCTCGACTGCCAGGTTTTCTGTTTCCCATTTCTCCTTGACACTGTCTGGATTCCCTGCCGCCCCTGATCCAGAGGTGGGATCTGAGGGAGGGCCCTGCTGCCTCATGGGGTTAGTTCCCTGTCCTGGGGGCCCTACCCCTTGTTAAGTGAGCTAGCAGCCAGTGTGAATAGAAGCCAAGAAATGCATCGTCAGGGAAGCAAATCACCAGGAACCAGAAGTTTTCTCAAGAGGACTTTTGTGGTTCAGTTATATGGTGTTTGTGTATTGCAAACAAGGGAGAGGAGACAGTTTCTACTGCCCAAGGCAGCAGGTGAGGCTTACTTGGGCCGTGGCTCCAGAGGCAAGGTGCCTGGTGCAGGCTCTGGACCTGGTTTCTGTTTCTCCAGCACAATGCAGGTGGCCCATCTACAAGGGAGATGATCCCCAATGCCTCCAGCCCCCTGGACAGAGCACAGTTTCCACTCGATGGTATTCAGCTGCGGGCCAACGAGTGGTAACCTATCATTACAGAATGTTTTCGAAAGGCCTCTTTCAGTCTTGGGTGTACATTTCCATTTTCATCCCATTTCAGTCATTTATTAGACTTGAATATGTACACATCCCAAAGCAACATACTCAGGAGGGTGTACAAAGGATTGGCAGATCAGGAGACGACATCACACAGAATTCGAAGCCCAAACAGGGACCTGAGTGCTGACTTCAATACAGCTCATAGTGACTGAAATCAGACAGCAACATAGGAAGGTATCAACATTACTTGCTGGGGAAAAAAGTGACCAAATGGGATAAAGCCAAATGCATTTGCGAGAGAACTGTGTGTGCTCACCGGGCAGGTGCCAACGAAAACCCTGCCGAGGCTGAACACCCGCGAACACCCAGGAAAGGAGAACCACGGTGAGCTGTAGGCTCCTTACACTATTCGAACGAGTGTAGAGATCTGTTTTCAATGGGAGCCTCTAGGTTCTCTGCAGCCCTGCCAGGTGACACACTGCTTCTGCACTTCCTGAGACACCTTTAGGTGGGAATTCTGACTCAGAGGACACAGGACAAGGGCTACACCCCTCTGTGCCCCATTGCTTCATCTCTAAGTTGGAGATCATCACTCAGCCTGCAGATGGAGGGAGATGATGATGTGGGGTGACCTTCCAATGCAGTGCCAGGTGCATCTGAATGGGTTAAGATCTATGGTGGCATGAGTATTAATTAGTGGGGTTGGTCAAAGACACTGGGGTTTGGGGAACACTTAGCAGCCCACATCTGAGTCCAGTGTGATGAACGTACCCTCCACACTCCCAGCACACAGGTTGCCATCAGTATACTTCCTACAACCCTTGAGCTACTCGGTGCAGTGCAGTACCCACCAGCCACAAATGGCTGCTGAAATTCAAATTCAGATGAATTACAATTGTAATTTCAGTTCTTCAGCCATACAGACAACATCTCAGGTGCCTGAGAGCCATACATGACGACTGGTTACTGCAGAGAACACCGAGCATTGCCATCCTCACAAGAAGGCCTTCAGGCTGGTCTTCCCAAAACGGGGCACAGTGCCTGGCTACTAACTGTGTGAGGACTGAGCAGCACAGATCAAGGCATGAGGTGACTTTAAAATCAATCCCTAGCTCAGCTGCTGTCTGCGCAGTACAAGCTCGCGGCAGAAAGCAGGTCCATATTCCACAGCCGTTCCAGAGCCTTCCTTCCCACCTGTCTCTGAGCCCTCTGGACTCAGATCACAGTGAGTCAAGCGGTTTCAAACCCCAAGGCCACCCTGAAGGTGGCCCCTCTTGCCAATTCCTGAGGCCATTAATTTTGCCAAAACTCCTATTTCCACCACTCTTGTCTATGTCAGAATGTGAGGGGACAGCAGCCTCGCAGGTGCGCACAGAAGGGGTAAGCGCCTTCTCCATCCTTCTCCTGGGTGTCTGACGCCATCACAGAGCAGAGGGTGAAAGACAGGTGTGCTGGTACTTCTTTATCAAGGGAGGGTTGGGGTGAATGGCATTTGCTGATTTCCATGGTGTAAATATTGCTACCGTGGCCACTTTCAACCAGCTCACAAAACCCTGAAACTTTACCATTCTGCTCCTCCGAGCACCAGACTGTGCCCCTGATGGGCATGACCCAGGAGGGTCACTCTAGAAGAAGGCTTACTTCATGTACGTTATCTGAGCCAGGGAATAAGGTGTTCTCTTTGCATCTCACAGTAAAAGAACAGGAAAACCCACTCTACTTTCACAGATTATTATACAGTTGTTATGTAACATGACAAAGAATTTCATGACCAAGTTAAAAAGATCAGTAGAGCTTTCCTTGGAAAATATTCTAGAGTTTAAAAAGACATCAACAGTAGAGAATGTGCAGGCGCTGGATAAAACTTCTGGCCTCACCTTCTACCCTCCATTAAGCACAGAGATCCTGCTCTGTCAAGAAGTCATCTGCGCTGGGGGGGTCCCGGTGGGGACAGGCATCTTAGGTGCACTGTGGAGCCCACGACTTCGAATCCCAATGACGGATGCTGCCTCTGCACCCACGTCACACAGTGAGGCCATGGGCTTGCTATGGTGTAGGACGGGAGGACAGAGCCAGGGAAGGCAATACTCCTTGAACTTGGCAAGGCTCCATGGGCCAACTTACGTTTCTTGAACTACACTGAATGTATAAACTTTTTTGTGGGACTTCCCTTCACTAGTGAGTTTGTATAAACTGCATATCGAGTCTGTCAGACGAGCCTGCTGAAGTCGTTCCTCTGTGCGTGGGAATTCCTGGGTCACCAACCCTAACCCCGTGCAGGAGCTTCCCAGTTAATTTTCATGAGATTCATTCATCTCACTTGCTTATATCGATTTCCAAAAAGCCTCGGCAGAGTGTTTTCAGCGTAGGGAAGTTACTGGATCTCAGAGAGCCCCAATTTCATCTCATAACAGGCAAGGCTACCAAAAGCTGAAAGACAATGTCTGCAAAACTAGTAGCAGAAAGCAGCACACAGCGGGCACCGAGGAAGGGCCATGTCCTGGTATGAGCATTTTAGAGGATGCATTCCATAAAGGAGGTAGCCGTTCAAAAAGTATTCAAAACCATGCCTTTCAGTCCGTTGTGAAACGTTCAGGCGGTTCACAAACACCGCTCGCCTCGTGCAGGGAGAGCAGCATTTGGTCAGAGCCGGGTGAACACCAGGAATTATGCTGTTTATTTCAGAGCTCTCGGTACTATGCTTGTCTCTTTCCGGGAAGTTCAGGGTCACACAGGCTGCCTCAATAGGCCACTAATGTAGTCGTTGAAGGCTGAGAACCAGGCGAACAGGGAAATGAATTTAAAAACCCCATTGCTTCATGTAACAGCCGTAATCCCCAGAGCAGCCGGGGTGGCCGGGCAGGAGACCCTCCGACGCACTGGCTGCACGTTCGAAGTGCTCCCAGCGTGCACTCGCCAGCCACTGCGACGGGCGCTGCACGGGGAGATGGTTATTTACTTCTAAGACTGCACTCCAACACGCTGAGTGTCTTCATGCGTTTGGGGGTCAGTGACAGCCTAATGAGACTCGGCAATGCAGAGAAGACCCGAAAACTACACGAGCAGCTTTCGGTGAGCTATCATGCATGACGGCAGGATCTGCTGCTGCCCAGAGTCAAGTAGCCTCTTTGGCCGGTCACATCTCTCCCCATGTCAGAGGGGTGTCACCTGCCGGCGTGGCTGCTGCGAGAGGCAGGGAGAGAGCAGGACCCGGGCCATTCCGGGCTGTCAAATGTGATGGATGGGCAGAGATGAAATCTGGAAGCCAGAGGCTTTGCAGCTGTCCTGAGTGAGAGCAAATGCGAGACCATCAGTTAAAAGCTGCGAAGCCTCAGCAGCGAACCGGCCCAAGGACCCCAGCAGCTTGCAGGAAGGGCTGTGAACCTGGTGACCCGGTCTCCCGCTCCTCCCTGCTACGGCTCCCGGGGTCCCGTCCAGCCGGTTCAGCCTCACCAAGAAAGAGTATTTCTCCGGGATGTGAGGTCCAGGGCACATGGGACTAGCAAAGAAAAATAAGACAAGGGAATCCCCCCTCGATCAGGGGCCCTTTGAGGGCAGTGCTCACAGTGGCTTTGAAGACAAAAGAGGTAGGAATAAGGAGCTGA